GCTCTCTGGGCATACCACTCTTCCTGAATTTCCACATGTATGCTGATCTAGGAGTTCTCTAAACTCTGTCCTTTAGCATTTTTTATGGAAGCTTCATTACATTGGCATGATTGATTAAATCATCAGCCATTGAGAACTGATTCAAATTCCAACCCCTCTCCCCTCCCCAGAAGTCAGTGGAGTGGGACTGAAAATTCCAATCCTCTAATCACATAGTTGGTTCTCCTGGCAACCAACCTTAAGTGTGGTCCCAAAGTTACCTCATTAACATAATAAAAACACCTTTATAGCTCACTCGCCTGATGTGAAATTCCAGGGTTTTTAAGAGCTCAGTGCCAGAAATGGCATGAAGGTCAAATATATATATATTTCTTATAAATCACAGTACCACAGAGGTGCAACCATATTGAAGGCATAAGGGAAATTAAGGGGTGATTCATATTTAGGGGTATGTTTGTGTATTTATATTAGGGGGATAAAGGTAGTGAGGAGATATCAGACAGGAAATACTTGCTTGTGACACTACCATATTATCTCTTCAAATTTTAATTTCTAGTTCTAAGAAGTCATGTGGGAAGCAAGGACAGAGAGCAGCATCCATTGACTCTGCAGTACTTATGGAGCCCCTATCTTGTGCTAGGTCTTGTGCTAAGCTGTGGGGTACAAAGGTCAACAAACACTGTTTCTGGACAGAAGGAGTCCCCTGTCCCATAAGACCATGGACAAACAAAAGCAAAGACTACAATTCAGAGAATTAAGTCCCACACGAATGGTGGCACAAGGTACTATGTAACTATGGAGAAAAAAGCAGCTTATTTTTCTTGGGATGCTCAGGAATAACTTCATTAATAGTTGGAAAAGGAGTAAGTTTGACAATTGTAGAGGGGGACAAAAGATATTCCTCACACAAAAAATAATATATGTAAAAGTAGAAAAACAAAATTTTCACCTTGACTAACTGGATTCATAGTTTGCCTCCACATCTAAGTTCTTCACTTCTTATTTGCTCTTTATTCCTCCACAGCTGAGTTTCTGGTTCATTATGTCACTGAAGTGTTGCAATGATCACCAAACTATCTAACCCAAAGGTAACTGGTCTGATCTTATTTAACCTGATTGACATTTTTAACCACTCACTGCTCCAGGAATTTTTTCCTCTTTTGGCTTCTTGTAATCATGGCTTTCTGATTCTATTCCTACATCTCTGACCACTTGTTTGTGGTTTCCTTTATAAGTGCTCAGCAATTGTTGACTAAACAAAAGTAATGTGTCAAGAGATTGATTTCAGAAAAGAACGACTTGAGCCTGTTTAAATGTGGACAGGATAAAGTTAATAGAGGAGAAGAGCTTAAAGATGTAGGGAGAAAGAGGATGTTTAATGAAATAAGGACCTGACAAACAGGAAAGAATGGATGGAATATAACAGGATAAAGGGAACTTAACGGAACATTCTTTATCTTGAGTTAGGCAATAATCTTAACTCCTGTGGATAATTAGAATGAGACTATCCTTTCAAAAGGCACTAAGCATATAGAGATTAGAGGAAAAAGAGTTTGAGATACACAGCCCAGTGTTCATGCTCAAAGTTTGGCTTTGGAGTCAAAAGAATGTCTTTGCTAGCTTATAAACACCAGCAGGGTAAAGTAAGAACATCTCTGGAGATTCCAGATATCAAAGAATAGGAATGAACTAGGAAACAGAGATTAAGATAGACAGCAATGAATAATAAGTAGAAATTTGACAGAGGCTTTCAAAATGCTTCCATATTTGTCATATACAATCTATGATTTTAAAATTTATCTTTTTAAGTTTTCCTATTTTTTCTGACTGGATCTAGATTTATTAATAAATGATGTGTGATTAAGAATTTTATTTTGTCTTTCTATTCAAAATCAAATGTCTGGTGTAAACTTGTCAGTGTTCTCCAGAAGTTTTAAATGAGTTTTAGCTTCATGATATCACAGCATTTGAGAGCAGCTATGTGAATTTCATTCAAGAGATGTAAATAGGTCTCTCAATTTCAGAAACAGGGTTGGATATCCTGTGCCTCCGGATATCACTCCCTGAGAAGTTACAGCTTCACTTATTTAATCCCAAATGGGCATAACTAGACTCTAATCATGAGGAAACATGAGTCAAACACAGAATGAGAAATATTCTATTTTTTTAAAAAGTAGAAGGAAGGAAGGAAGACTATGTCAAGGAAGACTAAGAAAGACTAAGGAATAGTCCCCAGACTAAAGAGGACTAAAGTGATATGACAACTAAATACAATACTAAAGGGAAAAGAATTCTCTAAAGGACACTATTCAATCAGTTGACAAAATTGGAACATGGATAGTAATGGGATAAAAGTATAATGCCAATGTTAAATGTACAAAATTAAAAAACTGCACTGTGATTACAGAAGAGAATATCCTTCTTCAGAAATGCACACTGAATATCACTAGGGAGAAAGGGGTTTGCTGTATGCAAGCTGTTCTCAAATAATTCAATGAAAAAAAATATTTCTGCATACTCTACACACAGCAAATGTTGAAGCAAATGGGAAAAATGATGGATGAAACTGAGTAAAGGACATAGGGTGTACTTTGCATTATTTCTGTAACACTTTTTTTTTTCTTACTTGGAGTATTTTTATTATTTTTTTAATTTTATTGATGTATAGTTGATTTGCAATGTTGTGTTTAATATCTGCTGTACAGCAAAGTGTCAGTTATACACATATGCATATATATATATATATATATATATATATATTCTTTTACATGTTCTTTTCCATTATGGTTTATCACAGGATATTGAATATAGTTCTCTGTGCTATACAGTAGGACCTTGTTGTTCATCCATCCCATATATAATAGCTTACATCTGCTAATCCCAAACTTTTTAAATATAAATTTGAAATTAATTTCTACATATAGAATAGAAAATATAGAAAGGAAGAAATCGTCACTATAAGTAACTCTAAGGAAGCTCATATATTCAGAAACTTCTCAAGAAAGATATTTTGGGGAAAGTACACTAAGTTGTTTGAACTAACAAGTGGAATGGCAACTTCAGTTGGTTCAGGCAATGTCTGTGATGTGGTTGAACTCATAACCTAACTTTTCTGCAGATAAGGGAGAAGCTCTGTGGAGCTACCTTCCTGTGACCATCCATTTATAAAAATATCAGCTATGTCTAGCTATTCATTAGATAATAGTTAATATTTATTCTAATTTTACTCATTTGCTCTGTATGGTAGGATCAGAAAAACAAATCTATGCACAGTTTAACTTATAAACCCAATCCTTCTTCTTTCAGCTTCATGATGCTATCCATTATCGTCATTCTAATAACTTCACTAACCAACATTCATGGTATTTAATTAAACTAAAATGTATCCAAGCACTTACAAAAAGAATATGCATAATAACAAGCACTGCAAAGAAGGAGAGTTAAATCCAAATTATTAATCTTAAATTGTATGAAGATGGAGATTATGTGCTTCATTCTTACAAAAATTATATTTTCATATCAGATTTAAATCCCTGGAAAGATGATTAAGAATCAACCTTACATTTGCATATCACCTTATACTTTTTAATGCACATTTATGCTTATTATCTTTTTTGAGTCTCACAATAGCCAGGGATTTTTATCATTCAACTTTTGGAAAGTAGGAAACTAGCTGAGGGTAACTGAGGCTAAGAGATTTGCACTAGGATTTGCTGAACTGTTGAATAAGGAAGTTGAGATTGGAGCACATGTATTCTAACTGCTAGTCCTGGGTTTGCCTCACTTACACCCCATGGAGAGTCTTGCCACTAATTCAGTGCTCACATACCAGTTTTATGATTCTGTAGCCACTCTAGAGAGTGAAATGTTGGCAGTCAAAAGCACACTCATGGTTCAGAAATATTACAGGGACCATAATGCATATTATGTAAGGGTATATTGCTGTTCTATTGATTTTTTTCTCATATTAATAGTAATACTAAGAGTATGATGTGAGTAAGTCTCATTAGTCCCACTGCATAAATGAGGAAACCAAAAGGCACTTAAGGATAAGTGATATTAAAGAAAGCATTAGCAGATAAAATAGATGTTCTAATTGTAATCTTTCTATGCCTATATAAAATATGCCTTTTTGATTCCTTTAAAAGAGATTTCCTCATCCTAGCCTTGTTCAAGTTATTTCTACCCAAAATATAAATCAAATATTGTTTATCTGAAATGTGGTGGGATCTTATTCATTAAAAGTACCACTCTTACTTCACGGTACATTTAAAGTTATATAGTTCAAATATTTAGATTTTACACAAATTGATGACTCAGTTAGAGTTGTGGCTGTGAAAATAGACCTGTCTTGATGATGATTATCCCCAGCTTCCTAAAGTTGACAATCTCTTTAGGAGGATGTGCCCTGTATCAGAAGCACCAGACACTGATAAACGTGTTATATACCTTAATTTCACCTAGCTATGTGATCTTGTACAAGTTACTAAACTCTTGGGTTTTTAGATCCCTCATCAGTGAAAATTTAATTCTAACTGCCAAATCCTTGATTCTGAACTGCAGTTTGAAATTAGACGCAACAAACTCATAATTTGTATAATTTTATTCTCCCCTGATTACCTCAGTAGTTCATGCTGGCCTATTAACATGTGAATGCCGATTGAATAAAAGCCTTACACATTTAAATGAAGATATTTCTCTTGTGATATTTCCATTTGAACCTTTTGTCTATTGATTTGTGATTATCCAGTATACTTCAGGTGAAATAACCTTGCCTAGGAATCAAGAGACCTAAGTTCTACTCTGGGCTCTGACAGAAAATGTTCATTTAAGTTTTGTGAACTACATGCATTTAGGTATAAAGAATAAGTATAAAAATATGCATCCTGACTACCTCATGAAAAGGATATAAAAAATTAGTTGACTCTTACATTCTGAACAAGTGAGGTTACAGGAAGATATTGAACAGCACGAGCAACACGGATACTTTTCTGCTTTACCTGATGGGGAGATGTGCCTCCAGGAAATGGAAGGCTCTGGTTTCCCAGTGGCCAAACAAGTCAGGGTGATATTGGTTCCTTCATTGATGGTCATATCACTTGAGATGTCATATATCTTCGGAGGAACTGAAATGGCAAAACATGCAGTGGTCAGAAAAAAATGTATAAAAGTCTGTTGAACTATATATGATTAACTCCATGATATCATGCAATCAAACTATGGTGGTGAAATGTACTTATGGCCCATGGTCATCACCTAAAGGATAGATTCTCTAGATCCTCAGGATTACCCTAGAGTTTTTTTGTTTGGTTCTAATTTTCTCTAATATTTGGCTATGAAATATTTTAAGACAAATTAAATATTTAATAACAAAAAGCTTAAATAGTGCTTAAATGATCAATAAATATTGTTGTGAATACTTTGTATTACATAAACTAGAATATAGCCATCTGTCTGTTCCATCCATGTATCTTCACTATAATGATGGTTTTCCTGTTGAAATGATTAAAGAAAAATGGAAATCTGGAAGAAACTTAAACTAGCAGAACAGTTATGCCTACATGGTGATTTAAGAGCTAAGTGAGGTAAAACATGTACAGAATTGGGATATAAGATTTCAGGGTCGCAAAGGCAATTTAGGTCTCAGTTTTCTAATCTGCCAAATAGTAAGGCTGGAATTTCTGAGCATTTATGTTCTAAGGAACACAAATTCTAAGGGCTGTGAAAGATGTGTTCAACATGAGTTTTCTTGTCAGTAATGGATGGAAATTTGTTGAAACAGGTCTCTTTATTTTGAGATTTCTTAGAACATTTGTTATGACCTTTGCTCTGTAAATCTACAAGAGTGAAAGGGGAAATATTGTGATGTGTTTTGTTTTGTTTTTTCCTGATGTATTAGGCTCTGTAAATCTACAAGAGTGAAAGGGGAAATATTGTGATGTGTTTTGTTTTGTTTTTTCCTGATGTATTAGGCTATGGAAGCTTTTATAACAGAGTATTTGATGAAAGTAGTGAGCCTGGAATAAACTTTGGGAATGTTGAATAGGAAAATACCTAAATTAACTTCCAGGATAAAAATGTCTGTATTCTCTCAAATACCAAATGATCTCATTTAATCCTTATGCAGCATGGATATAAGTCCTGTGCCCTCTACAGGCTAGCTGTGTTACCTCAGCCTCAGGTCTTCATCTGCAAGCTGGAGATAATAATAGTACAAACCCCATATAGCTACCGTGAAGATTAATAAGTCAGCATATGTTAAAGGGTTTAGAAAAGTTCCTGGCATCATTGTTAGCTATCAATATTATTATTAGATGCCTTAAAACACGTATTTGGTGTTTAACTTTAATTTCACTACTGCTCTTTTCCCATGTCTTAAATTGCTCTCAGGAGTTCACCACTTTGATAGTATACACAATGGGCCTGTGCCATAAGTTTTGGTTTCCTATATAAAAATATAGTATGTTGAAGTTTCAGGTCAAAGCTAAATAAATGGCAATTAGATACATTGATAACTATTATAAAAACATGCTTTTTTTTTTTTTTTTGTGGTACGCAGGCCTCTCACTGTTGTGGCCTCTCCCGTTGCGGAGCACGGGCTCCGGTCGCGCAGGCTCAGCGGCCATGGCTCACGGGCCCAGACGCTCCATGGCATGTGGGATCCTCCCGGACCGGGGCACGAACCTGTGTCCCCTGCATCGGCAGGCGGACTCTCAACCACTGAGCCACCAGGGAAGCCCAAAAACATGCTTTTTAAGTGGAATTTTTCTCATTTTTCCAGTCTTAGGGTTTCTTTTGGCAAGAGATATGTTTTCAGAGTTATTTTAAAAACCAGTAACTAAAATCTGTCATAAAGATAAATTAAATTACTCATACTTTGAATATCATCTTTTATTTTTTAATGGAACCAAAACTCTGCTACATGAAAATCTGGGATGATTTGATTACAAATATAAAGTATCCAATTATAAATAACTGGTGATATGATTGAGGAAAGGGCTTATTCCTAAGTGATATACTGTTGTATCTGTTCCTAAATGACATACTTTAATTGACATTTAAGACATGTTATCATTAAACTTTTCACTGAGCTCTTCTCAGGCAAATAATAAAAAATTAAAACCATTCCAAATAGAAGAATCCTTTTAGCTTAACTGAAACAGAACAGAAATAAAAACTTTAAAATACCCTAGGAAGAAAGTAGAGAAAAATGTGCAAGACTTACTGGTGAATTGAAGATTTAATAAAAATAAACTTATAACATTAAAAATATATATATCATTTGTATATATGAATGTAGGTATTGGTGTGATATAGTAAACCATGAAATACATGTGTATATACAAACACATGTGTGTATATTTATGAGTGTGTGTATATATATATATATAAATATACAGATACATATATATCAATGTCTACTATTAAAAAAACAAAAAGTTATATGATACTTTCCTTCTTTATGTAGAAGATAGTATACAGACATCAGTCTAGTCTGGTTAGTTTTATTTTAAACATATAACTGATTCAACTTTGAGCAGAGGTGTATATATTTAAGAGAAATGATGGAGTGCCATAAGACCACGCATTCTAGCCTCTAAATTAAATTATTTTGTCAATTTTATCTGGCTTTAAAATAGTTTAGTTTCATCTTTACACATCTACTTATATTTAAAGTGGTAAACTAATATTAAGCACAATATTTGATTTCACAGAGAAATAGCCAAGTCCCTTAGCAATAAACTTAAGATTTAACATTTAACTAAGGGAAATTCTGTGGTGGGGGAAGACTGTTGAATTCCAGGTGTGACATGTCAGTTCAGTGATTGCAACCACCTGCTGGGGCCTCATAATTCAGGATCTGCTACAGGAAAGAAACATCTGGAAAGAGGATGTTAGCAAGGGAAATCCCTCTGGCAAGGCACTTCTCCCCAGAATGCATCACCTGTTGGCAACAGATGTTGTGTGTAGAGAGGGCCAATGAAGTCCCTCACATGCAATGTATGTAGCTTGGGGAGGCAAAAACAGGTGTTGCTTTGTTGAATTGCATATCCAGTTCAAGACTTCAAAGTTTTACTGATTATTATGGAGGGAATAATTCTGGACTCACAGGAAATGCAAAAGTTTCAAAGCATAATCCTTGACCTCGAGGAACTTAAAATTAAAAGAGGGAGGCAGATTGGTAAGTAACTAAGAGAAGACAAATATTTTCCATAATTTCCTTTCTCATTTTACATGAGTAACACAGGTCTACTAGGTATGCCTTCTGGGTTCAAATCATCAGAGATTAATTTTGTGTTTGTTTCTTTTAGAGCAAACCATGAAGGATAGTTTATCCACAAAATTATTCATTGTGGTGCTATTTATAATACAAAAGAACTATCAGTGACCTCGATGTAAGAAAACAGAAATGGAGATATTGTTAGCTCTGCCTCCAGAATAAGGTGTGGTTTCGAGGAAGGGTTTGGGATGAATCTGGGGAACATTAGGCTAAGATATAAAGGAAAAGAAAAGTGATATTTCTACCGTGGGTTGCAGGAGCTTGGAGAATGGTAATGTCTCGAGTGTCTTAAAACCCTCCCGTTCTGGATTACAGTTTGTGTATAAATGGTGAATGTGCACAGGTGGGAAGAACGCCACTGAACTTTCTAAATGACAAAGCATTTCTTATGGCATGTCCAATATTCTACATGCTTGCATAGAAAAAAGAAAAATGAGGAGAGTTAAAATAACTTACTATTCTAGACATCTGTTTCTTTTCTATATACCTTATATCAAACTCCTTCAACCATTTTATTTATAAATTTAACTTAAAAATCAATTGTTTAAAAAGAAGTATGTTCAGTCAATTCAATAATTTTTAAGTCACTAAATAACTCTATATTTTAACAAGTATTTAGGTTGCTGTGCATATTATTTAAGTATTTATGACCTAGAGCAGAGTAATAAAGGAATAAGTTATTCATCTAAATATACACTTGTTAAATTTGCAGGAAATAATTATTATAACATTAAAATTGTCATCATCATCATGAAACCATAAATAAAAACACTGAAAGGTAGAAGTTCTAGATTTCTCACTAAATCACAGAATAACTTTTTTCTAATAGGACCCTAACTGGGGATACACACAACTTTACATCTGTGTTAATAATGAACTGTTGCTTATTACCAGTTAGAGACATTGAAGAACATTGGAAACTTTCTAAGCAATAGGGTTGGGAGTGGATTTAGAGTCTGTGTCGGAGGGAAATTTTTTTTTTAATTCCCACATACATTTAAAGGAATCACTCTTGTACCTTCAAATTCATAACCTTTTTTGCCTTTAATCAATTATTCACTGGACTCAATTTCAACTACTGTTTACCACCCTGTTCTCAACTCCTATTGATGCCATGGTGGGGGGCGGGAAATGATGCATATTTAGATGCATTTATAGATTTAGATTCATTTAAGGTAATTCAAATCTCTTGCTGGTTTCACTTTCATCAAAAAGTATGCAATCTGACTTGCCCCAACTGCCTTCTCCTTTTGGAACCATCTATCACGGTGTCTTCAGGCAGGATGGAGCATTCTTAGTAAGAAAAATCTTAGAATACATATCCAAACAAAATACTAACGATTTCCACACAACCAGCCATTTGGGATTATCCACTACCATTTACACTGTGATGGGCAATTGAGTCCTGTAAGTGTCCTCATGGTTACTTTCTGTTTTTACTTGTACATAATTTCTGAACTGTATAAATAAAATAAGATTTTGTTTGTTTAATGAGCAGCCTTCACATATTTAACTTAAATTTCTTCCAACAACTCATCCTGTAGTGTGGAACATGACTATTAAAAATGTGAGCAGTCAACATAAGGGTGACAAATATGTACAACACAGGAATCATATGAGCACACTCTTTTATTTTATATGAAAAGTCTGTTCAGGGACTGCGGCCAGGATGCTGGTGTGAGGAAGTCAGAGACAAGGAGCCTGGCATCCTTGGACTCCAGCCCTGATTTGTAGAGGGGTGGCAGCTGGTGGAAAATATTTTTTTTAAAAGTCTGTGTAGATGATAATAAATAAAATAGAGTTCACACCTATATGAAGTTGCATGAGATGTGAGGTGGTGCCACA